TGCTGTAATAATGATTGTTACCAGTTAATTAAGCACCTACTATTCAAACAACACTGTACTATAGCTCATTTCATGCTCAGGACAATCCAACTTGATGACTGAGAAAAGAGGTCTGTGAAGGACAAAAAATGACAAGGCTAGTGGGCCTCCCTGGTGGCCTTGAGAATATGCTAAGAAATCCCCAAATGTATTCTTTCTCCAGGTTGTCCTCATTTCTGCCATTTTTAAAAAAAAAATATTTATTTATTGGCCCTCCCTGGTGGTGCAGTGGGTTAAAAAGCAGCACTAAGAAGCTAACGCCACTTCAACATGAGTTTGATCCCCGCCCCGGAGGTGACCCCATGGCGTGACAGACCTCTCCTGACCCGCCCGCTGCTCCCCTCAGCAGTGTACTTCATCGATCTGCCTATTCTGCTCCCCACTCTGTCTCTGGTGAACTCTCTCACTACCCCTGCACCTCTGGGCTGTATCCCAGAGATTTAAAATTTATTTATTCATACAAGAACTTGGGTACAGGCCAGAGATGCAGGTTAGTAAGAGGCTTCACCAGAGACAGAGTGGTGGGCAGAATAGGCAGATCGACGAAGTTCACTGCTGAGGGGAGCAGCAGGCGGGTCAGGAGAGGTCTGCCGCGCCATGTGGGTCGGCTCCCTGGTGGGGGATCAAACTCAGATGTGCTAGTAATGAGACTGACCCCAAGGCCACCAGTGAGGCCTGCAGCTGTTGCTTTTGGTGGGAAGGCTGGGAGGCAGCCAGTTTGGTGCTTATCCTGCTCTTCTCTCTGGTCGCTGAACTGTTGTCTCCCACTGCAGTAGGAGAGAGCCAGAGCCCTTCAAATCTCACCATGCAAAGGAAATGAGATTTTATATATGAAGATTTCCAAACCTTTCAACACAGCTACTCATTCAACAAATGTTTAAATAGTTAAGCATAACTCCATACAGAAAGAAACAGAGTGATATGGTAAGGGTATCTGACCCACCCATAACACTTTCATAATTACATATTTATGACGTTTTCATTTGCTTTTTCTTATAAAAGCCATCAGCTGCATGCAGACTTCTGCAAGATCCTCATCAGAGTGCTTCTGCACAACGGTGACAGCTAATTTAATTTTCTTCTTTTCAGTTGCAGACTTAATTGTCATAATAGTCATTTGTCTTATTAGTTTCATTTTTCTTTTGGTTAAGAAAATAACATCATGACTGGGAAAATGTTACTTAATAAAAATGGGGACAGCATTTCTGAGCTTTCAGTTCATATCTTTACTTCACCACTAGGCTATGCTAAAGGATAGATATACCATTTTAGCCAAGAACACTTCTGATTTTTAGCTACCCAAAAATAACAGGAAAATAAATTCAAAGCTAGATATGAATTATTTAATCACTCAAAATCTGCTTGGCAATTCATTTAACAGGCTTACTTAAGAGTTAGTTAATATAATTAGCTTTTTGAATAAAATTAAATGGAATAAATGAATAGATGAACCCATTTGTTTTTTTTAATCAGATATAAGTCATATTGGTAAAGTCCACTTTGGTTTTAGGAGCATTACATAGTCATTTATTTTATCCAAATTAAATCTTTTCATTTTTATGTCATCAGTTCTGTTTTTAAAAAGTATAATGTGTAGTCATGGATTGATTATCAGAAATATAAACAGACGCATTTTTCTTTCTGCTTCAGAAACAATATTATTTTAAAACTCAACAATGCAGAATCAAACGCTACTTCATTTATCATAGGTATTTTTTTTACATTAAACTATGCTCTATTCTCCATACATTGTGTTCAGAACTCTTGAAGTTTTAATTTATGCATGTAGCTTGTTGTCATTTTTATTACTTTTCTCTTAAAACTAAGGCACACACAATTTTAATCATCATACTTATATAATGTATATCACTGCTCGCTAATTGTATGAGGCACTAAAGTTCAAGTACGTCTAAAAAACTTGCAATTAGGGGCCCTCCCTGGTGGCGCAGCGGGTCAAAGCACAGCGCTGAGAATCTAAAGCAGTTTCTGCATGAGTTCGATTCCCACCTGCCCCGGAGGTGACCACATGGTGTGGCAGACCTCTCCTGACCCACCCACTGCTCCCCTCAGCAGTGTACTTCATCGATCTGCCTGTTCTGCTTCCCACTCTGTCTCTGGTGAAGCCTCTCACGGCCCCTGAGCCTCTGGCCTGCACCCCAGTTCTGTATGCACAAATAAATAAATCTTTAAAACAAAACAAAACAAACAAAAAACCTTGCAATTAGGAGCACAAAAATTCAAGGTAACATTCTAAAATATTTCTTTAGGGACAAAGTAGAGGTGATATATATGCGATAAATGAATTAAAGAGAATGCATGTAAACTAGTTCACATAAGAATAATATACTTGCTACTCACATTTATTAAGAGAGAGAATAGGTTTTTGCAACTAGAGTTCCCCAAAACTTCACAATCTAGTTTGGAAAAGCACTATGAAGACAAAAATCCACAAGCTCCCAATTTATTACTTAATCCACTTGATAAATCTATCTGCAGGAGGCTTCCATATTTTAAAGCTAAATTAATGTTTTTTAAATTTATCTTTTTCAATTATTCATTACTCATTATTCATCTGTTAATTACTCATGTTAGAATGACTCACTGACAGAACACAATGCAGCCCATAGCAACACACTATTCATTTATTACTCCCATTACAGTCCTGTCTCAGCAGATGATAGAGCTCTTGGAAAGGTTAGTGGACTCTGTCTCCTTCCATGTAACCAAATTCTCTAAAATCCATACATCAACTAGCTCCAAAAAGATGAACATAGTTGATGTGGGTTAAATCTCACTTACATGTATAGACTTAAATCTATACAGAGGGGTAATAGTGACTGACTGCTACTATTACCTCCAATATTGGCACTAAACACATACAAAATATGATGTTCCTAACTTCACAGGCTACCTGACACATCAACTAGCAGAACAGCACCACAGCTTTTTTTCAGTTCTAGAGTTTCTTCCTTTTATCTACCATGCCCTGAAGAGACAACTGAATCTGGAAATTCCTGGTAGTATCTTCAAGCAATGGCAGATAAATTAACGTGGCCAAGATCTGAAGTATTCCTGATTTGAGGCCAGGTAAGCAGTACTATCAAGATACTGCCAGCTACTGTGGCACGAGTTTGAAACCCATACAGGGAGCTAGCTTCCCATTTCTCGTGCCATCTGCTATAAATAAAGGACTTGGTGGTGCAAGGGGTTAGGTCTCAGCACTGTGAAGCTATCCACAGCCATTGCAGCGTGAGTTCGATCGTGGCCAGAGAGCTGACACACATGGTGCAGCAGACCGCTGCTGTATATCTGCTGGTACCCTCAACAGTGTATTTCAGTAGATTTGCCTGTTCTGTCCCCTACTTTGTCTCCCCCACCCCGCACCTCTGGACTACACCCCAGCTCTTGTATGCATAAATACTTGTTTTTATTTATTTATTTATAAAAGGACTCACTGCAGTGCCTGGAACATACTCCAGTAATCTCAAAGCACTCCACAGCAGCACACCAAATATCATTGGCTCTTCCAGAGCTCCTGTGCATGTACAGGCTGTTATGTTACTGGAAGCCCCTTGCCCACTATCCACTTGCTAAATTAATCCTTTAAGCTGCATCTCAAAAGTCAGGTATCTCAGGAGACACATTGACTGTCACCAGCTAGAATTAGGTATTCCTTCCCATTTCCCTCTCACAGAACTATCATTTAACTACTTGTAAACAAGTCTAAATCCCTGACTGCCAATTCCATCAGGCCTGAGGCATCTTCCACTGAGGTTATATTGGTGGAACCCAAGTAGGGGTTCAAAACATGTCTCCAATGAAGATCTGGCAGTTGAAGGAAAGAAATCCTAGGAACTCCATCCACATCATGAACTGAGTCATGGTTAGACTTGACTTTGTATTAGTACATTCAAAACGCCATGTAGTGAGCTGCCCAAATGATGGGTCCCTCTCTAACAGCTCCCCCCCCCAAAGTCATTGTGTTCTGGGTGAGACTGGCTCTTCTCTGCATTAACTGACATCCCAATCAAGCAAGTAACAGAGTCACTGGCGCACCCCCACTGCAGTGTACACCTATGGGCTGCCCCCTGCTCAGTCGAACTGTATTTAGCCTAAAGGGTCTGAGAGGATCCTTGATGGCTACCAGCATGCACCTCTACAACCTTGGTGATAGAGCTCTGGACCAGGGGACCTCTCCATGGACAGGACTGGGCTTTCTTCACACTGCTACACTTGTGAAGCTTAGGGTAAGCCATCATAGGAACCCTTTTTCTCCAACATAGGAAAAACAGCTGCATTTTCTTCTAATGGTGGACACCCTTAGGCTAGGATTTGGCTGAAGCAAGTCCCAATGTGTTGATCTCATAAAGATCTATGTTTTTAAAAAATCTATTTTATTGCATTCAAGAGCTCAGGGCTGTCCCTCAAGGACAAAGAAAATGAAGCCCAGGGCCAATGCTGACCCTTGGCTAACCCTGGGAGACAGTCCCCGAGTTTACCTGTCAGAGTAATTTCCTCCAAATTAGATTTAGTTTTCACTCACACTTCAGATGAATACTCATATCCCTCCTGCCAGAACTTGTGACTTATACTTAAAGCACCCTTTAGCTTTGATATAGTCTAAGTAAGTTTCACTAGATATGCAAACCTAACTTCTAGATTTGTTTCTATCACTGTATTTTGAAATATATTTCTTAGAAGTTATCTCCATATATACTGTACTCCATTAATGTAAGTGATTATATAATCTCCAAACAATCAAATACCGCCTATTAATGTATTTAGCTACATAGATGTCTATCGTCTTTAAAAAAAAATTAAGTTAGCCTATGTATGTCACTTTTTGAAAAAAACCCTACGTGAACACTGACATACACACTCTTCTGCTAAAATAACAATGACAACACACTGAAATGAAATCTAGCACTTGAGGAGAACAACACCGTCAAGAACACACTCACCCACTATGTTTCATATGAGGTGGTTTATCCATTCTCACTGCCAGTTTAATTTTCAAGTCAGAGTCCTGGCTATTTTTTGGAACTATCATTCGGTGCAAATCAGCTGACTTGGAGCTATTTGAAGTTGGATATAAAATCACCTGTAAGGGAACAAAAAGAAAACATGTAAGTGCACAATGCAGGTGTTTAAGGATCAGAATCTAAATCGTTTATCTGTTTTCCTGGTTGAAAGGGTGTCATGTCTCACCGTGTCCAATAAACCATTTGATTTCTTCCTACACACAGCAGATGGGTTTTCAATAAAGACTCATTTATTTTTTGACAAATATGTGTTTTCATTTATCACATAATGAGTTTTCTTCCTGCATCACTTCATAATAAATTAATAGCACAATGGCTACAGCTGAATTGACAGTTGAAAAATACTCAATAGACAACTATAATTTGAAGGATACTTTAAACTCCTTAGGGCAAAGACATTCAGAAAGGAATGTTCTTTTGAGATTATAGATAGCATGCTTAGAAAGCAAAACTAATTATGTGATCCAGCAAAAGATACCTATTTTAATATTTTCAATGCAATAGTATGAAAGGAAGTCAATTAAAGATGGATGAGATTGATCATGGCAACTATTCTCCAGGTCAGTAGCAAACAGGTTTTTTTTTTTTTTTCTCCTACTGCATGCTTTCAGAACTGTAAAGGCAACATTATAATAATTGAAACAAACTCTTTTTTTTAAAGATTTATTTATTTATTCACACAGAACTGGGGTACAGGCCAGAGATGCAGAGGGCGAGAGGATTCACCAGAGACAGAGTGGGGAGCAGAACAGACAGATCGACGAAGTACACTGCTGAGGGGAGCAGCGGGCGGGTCAGGAGAGGTCTGCCACGCCATGTGGTCACCTCCGGGGCAGGCGGGAATCGAACTCATGCGGAAGCGGCTTTAGATTCTCAGTGCTGTGCTCCAACCCGCTGCGCCACGAGGGAGGGCCGAAACAAACTATTTTTAACAAATATGTCAAATTTGTTGTTTCACAGCACTACAACACAAAGTCAACCCAGGAAATAAAGCCTCCTCTTCAGCTGTTAGATGTCACACCTATAAAATCCCATATGTGTCCTTTCAGTCAGTCTTTTCAAAACTTCTACAAACTTGCATCCATGCCTTAATGGATATTTTTAAATATGAAGCCTGTGCTCTACAGGACAAAATAAAGACATGACATGCAGTGCATTATATTATAAGCAGTTCTTATTTCGAACCATTCTGGAAAGTAAAATAAACAAAATTTGAATGCAAATGGAAAAATCATAAATGTGTTCAGGAATGTTAAAATACTTTGAGTCTAGATGTCCACCAATTTTGGCATGGTCAAACTCTCTCCTCCTCCAAATTGTCTTTGCATGGATAAGTGGAAATATCCACTAAGAAGTTTTTAGGCAAGTTTCTTTTTCTCTCAAGGAAGGACAACTAAGTCCTAAAACCTTCTCCAACTATGCTCAACTTCCAAGTTGTTAAATTTGTCTACTATTTTGAGACTTTTCTCAAGCCTATCCTAAAAGCCATAGCTAAGTGGAATCCAGAATATCTATGCACTTAAGGCTATAAAGGCACATCCAAGAATAGATGAAATGGCATCTGTGAGGTTTTCAAAAATTGGGATTATATGCTAGAATTAGTTATTTTCATTGCTAAAATACCCAATGGGATATTTCACAAATTCTTTTTTGAAATGACCGTAAAGGAAAATACAGTACTTTCTAGCAAATAAATCTGGAATGCTGTCTTTAAAAAAAAAAGCCTGGGCCCTCCCTGGTGGCGCAGCGGGTTAAAGCACAGCACTAAGAAGCTTAAGCCACTTCTGCATGAGTTCAATGCCCGCCTGCCCTGGAGAAGATCCACATGGTGCGGCAGACCTCTCCTGACCTGCCTGCTGCTCCCCTCAGCAGTGTGTACTTCATCGATCTGCCTGCTCCCCACTCTGTCTCTGGTGAAGTCTCTCACCCTCCACATCTCTGGCCTATACCCCAGTTCCATATGAATAAATAAATCTTTAAAAAAAAAAAGCCTGTAATACTAGTTGCCAGTTTCAAACTATACATTCCTGAAGTGGTCATACTTAATCATTTTAGCCTCAAATCAGTAGACAAAGAAATGTCATTATCACTGAAAAGGTGAGTTGAAAAAGACAGATAGAGCACCAGTCCATTCTCTATAGTGATGGATGCTATTTCCCAATCCCATCTCCCAAATCTCCCAAGTGTTTTCTTTCTCCCTACCTTTCTCTATCCTCTTCCTTTTCTTTCTAAAATTTATTTTGGCATGAACCACCTACAGACTTTATTCCTTTTTAATTCTTCCTTCTATATTTATATAAAAGTTGGTTTTGTTCCAAACCCTACAGTCTTGTACTAGAAGAGAACATTTAAGTTAAAACTTTTGAAGATCCCTGTTCTCTAAATGTGGACAATGGGTTAGGGACTGAGGCCCCGAAATAGCTTTAGCTGATGCACCAATGGGGGATCATCTGGCCTAGCACTACACCATTTCTGTCACGCTGTCATTTTCTTACAGGTATTTCTATTTGAACTCAGTGAAAAGATTTACTGCCTATCTTTGCTCAGCTAAACATTTGAGTTCTCACCATGAGAGGACACACAGAAGTCAAACAATACAGATGATTTGGATCCAAGAACGGGTGAGGGTCTCTTCTCTCTGAACAAATGTTTCAGTAATGCTTGATAATGGCCTTCCCGAGTGCCATTATCGGCACTCCCAAGGGTACAGCAGCTACTTGGCACTGGTTGTCTCTGGGTTTATTAACCATCATTTGGTTGGTTATTTTGGTTAGCAAATGTGCAATCAATTCTGTGCTAAGTTTCATCTACTTGAAAGACCTAGAATTTTCTTTCCCTGAGTATACTCTGCTAAAGGTATAAGCATTAACATAGGTAACAAATGGAGGCCCAATGATATGAAATCTTTCTAAAATAACTGAACAAAAAATAATCTGAACTCAGTTTAAAAATGGCCTGTGAAATAGTCTTCAGTGTTCCAACAGCCCATTCCTAAAGTGGTCATACCCCTTAAGATGACAGATGATCAGGCCCTCGTTGGTGGCACAGCGGGTTAAAGCACAGCACTAAGAAGCTAGAGCCACTTCAGCATGAGTTTGATTCTGGCCCCAGAGGTGACCTACATGGTGCGGCAGACCGCCTCTGACCCTCACTCTGCTCCCCTCGGCAGTGAACTTGGTTGGTCTGTCTGTTCTGCCCCCCACTCTGTCTCTGGTGAAGCCTTTCACTCCCCCTGCACCTCTGGCCCATACCCCAGTTCTGTATGCATAAATCTTTTAAAAAAATGATGATCACCAAAAGGAAGAAACTGCCCACGTGCAGAGTCAAGAAGTTGCAAATGAAGGACCAAAGAGTTCTTCTCTGCTACGTAAGAATGCCTATTCAAGGGAATTATCTGCCACATTAGGGTTTTATTACTGTCATTGGGAATTATAACTGGGTAGTTCCCACTTTCCAAGCTTTTCCCAAAGGTAAGCTGCACTGCGGCTCTCCTGTGTATGCTCCCCTGCTGTATCTCGGATGTGTGCCAGAGCAGGACGCGAAGGGTGGGTCGAGCAGTAAGACGCTAACATGAATTTTAGTTCACAGTTCACAAGAGTGCAGTGAGTGAGAGCTCAGCCTCATAGAGATGTCAGAGTACATACAATAGAGACAGGGAGCGGCACTGGGTTATTGCTCTTGACTTGAAAGTATTCTATGCATAGCAGAGATAATGCAACTGCTGTTACCCTTGGTGATCCATGGGTGATCTAGGGCAGACTCATGTTTCCTGGTTTTCACTAGTATAGAACTGCTGCCTGAATCAGTGGTCCTACCAGGATGACCTTCCCTCTATCACCTTTTATCAAAGAAAGGACATATGAAAGTTCTAACAAACAGAATATGAGGAGAAGTGGTGGTCGCTTTGGGAACTATGATTAAAATGAAGGTGATGCCTTCTTCATCCCTGTTACTTACGTGCCAGCCAAATGCAGGCAATCCGATGCCCTTAATTCCCCAGGGGGGCATGAAAGAGCCAGTGATCAGAGGAAAACAGAGCCCTGAAAATCTGTGTTGAAGAAAACTGCCTCTCTGCTTATACCCATTTGTTCCATGGGTAACACTGCTTGGAGCTATTGACATAATGTAATGTGCTAAAGGATTTAGCAGCATCCTATTTACTGCATTAACAGAGTGTTTGCTTTATGACTCGATATTTTTTTTTTTTTTCACAAGCACTTCAACAGTCAGTCAAATTAGTTCAGAGACACAGGTGTGCCTAAAGTTGCTAAGAGCATTAAACAATTTAACAGCTATAGAAACTGATGAAGCAGTCGTATGTATTCTAGATGCACATCTAAATTAAATTATAGCTCTGTACTAACTAGTTTCTTCTTTTGCGAAGTATTTTGTTCTTTGCTATTCATATCTCCTAACCTTTCTGTACACATTTCTGCTTCTTCTAGCTTATTTTTGTCACCAACACTTTAAATGTCTTGTCACTTGCCATGACACAACACATTTTTTATCTTCCATAAAACCAACGTATCTTCTCCATAATAAGATGTCAGCGATATATGCCATCTTTGCTAAGGTGTAATGAAAAACACAAAATGACTTTTTAAGTTTTATTTCAAATTCTGTCAATTTAAGAAACAGGAAGAAAAAAACACACAAATAAATTGTACAATACACATATAATGTTTAGGGCAATATGGATTCTGAAGGAACTTTCTCTTAAAAATACTTACAGGCCCTCCCTGGTGGCGCAGCAGATTAAAGCACAGCACTAAGAAGCTAAAGCCACTTCAGCCAGAGTTTGATCCCTGCCCACCCTGGAGTGACCCACATGGCCCAGCAGACCTCTCCTGATCTGCCTGCTGCTCCCCTCAGTAGTGTACGTCAGTTGGACTGTTCTGCTCCCCACTATGTCTGGTGAGTCCTCTCACTGCCCCTGTACCTCTGGCCTGTACCCCAGTTCTGTAAGCATAAATAAACAAATCTTTAAAAAATACTTACATATGCTGCTACCTCCACACTATTTTCCTCCTATGGAAAGATCCTAATTAAAACCAAGTTA